TGGTAATGCAGAGATGCCTTGGGTTTAATTGGGAGCGTTAAAGACACATTTACGTATTTAGCAAATAGGTGGTGAATTTCAGCTCTACATTGGACACTATACCAGGTGTTCAAATAAGCAAGTGGACAAGACAGACAATGCCCAAGGTCTTAGGAGGTTTAACCATTGGTCTCTTAAAAGAAACTTAGTAGCTTGCTTGGATAAAGCCAGTGGGTACCAGTATCCTCTGCTTTGCAACCTTTTCCTGGCATACTCAAAGTATTTAATATATGTTACAAAATATCACTGGACAAAGAATCCTCCGTGGAGTACCAGTGGAGAAGGAAGCCATTTGCTTAAAAACAGATTAACAGAAAGGCACTGTAAGACAGCTGTTTAGGTCTCTGAGAACTACAATTATTTTAAAGCTCATAGAAGTACTGTGGGCTACCAACAGATAGGCTAATTTTGAGTGACCCTTAGTACTTTGTCCAGTAACTTTGGAATGCTGTGTACTTAGTGGTTTTTTAACAGACATAAATTTGGGCTGTTAGGAAAGCAGTACAGTTGTGATTCTTGACAGGCATCTGCATTTTCATTTTTACCTCATTTGTCTAGACTCAGCTTGTCAGAATTACGGAAGAGACTCCTTGTGTCACTGTGAAGAGAGGTATTCACTGTCAGAAAGCAGAGGGGAGCTGGAGGCAGCTCAGAGGCCTGACATTCCTCCACAGGGGCCCCAGCAGGCTCGGCAGAGCTCGGCCAGACTCTCCTCTGGGGTGCTGCAGTTAGAATGAGTTCAGTTCCCAGCCAGGCTTGCCAAGGCTCCTCACCTGGAAGCAGCAACTGCCCGGGGCTGTTGGATGTTTCTCCCCAGGACACAGCCAGGTCCCAGTCCTGCCTCAGTGTGGAAGGAGGAAAGGCAGGGTCCAGGAAGCTGTTTCAGGGCAGGCCTGATGTCCCCCAGGGACACCTCGCAGGGTCAGCGGGGGCTGTAGGTCAGCACCGCCCCTGGAACAGGCCCCTGTGCTGTTGGCTGGCCTGGCTCCTCGTCCAGCTTCTGCTCCTCCTTTGTAAAGTTATGGGTGTGCTATCAGTTTCCAACTGAAACTAGGAAAGCAAGTCCTATTTGGTCAGAAAGAGGGAAAGGAGAAGGACAGAGAAAGACTGAGAGAGAGTCAGTCTCTCTCAGACAAAGGGAGACAGAGGGAGGGAGAGAAAGAGAAAGAGATGGGAGGTGGTCGTAGGAGGACGGAGAGATACAGAAGACAGAGGAAAGACAGAGATTTGGACCTCCCAAGTCGGTGGGCAGTCCGGAGTGGGAGCGGCGAGTGCCTGGTGGCATGTGACTGCAGAGTCCGCTCCCCGCTCCTAGAGGTGCAGCCATGGACAGCTTCTGTCACGGTGGTCCTGCGCTTATCGCTGCATCTATTTCCCCTTATGCACGATTCGGAACTGCGTGCTCCTAGAAAACGATAATAGCATTCCTGTTCATAAGAACTGTGCAGGTGGAAGGTAGTTTGCTGATATTGTTGTATTTTCTACTATTGATTCTTTTAGCTCTTGGCTGAAATTGCTTGGATTTCCCAGGCAAAGTAGAAAACTGTGGTATGTTTCTGTGAAGTAATTATTCCTTCTGGCGTCTCCCTTTACAGGCCTACTGATTTGGGTTTTTCATTTAGGTGAAAGTTTGTGGAACCACACCATTAGTTTGCTTTTGTGATTAGCTCCTTTTACTGAACTTAAGCGCCTTTTAAGCTGAGGCCATAGCAAGCTTAAATTTTTTACTATACACTGTGTTTCTTCCATGTAGGAGAAGAAGCGCTGCGTAAGTGCTTGTAAATTACACAGCCGAAGTGCTGCACATGCTGACAGGGGAGCGTGGTGGGACTTAAGGGCCCTTCTGGACACTTCAGGCTGCCCTTTGTAAGCTGTCTTGGAAGAGGCCACGTTTTTTTTCCCCTCAAACACTTTCCCATTGTTTGATTATTTCATTAGTCTTTCTCTGGAAGCTAAGCCACTTTTACGAAAAAGTCACTGCTTTTTCATCTTAAGAGATGCAAGTTTGGAGTCTGGAAAAGTTATCGGGAGCTCATCAGCTCATCCCTTATGATGTCAGACGAGGCAGACCACAGAATTCACAGGGCCCAATGCAGACTGAAAACTTGAGGCCCCTTATTCAGAAATCATTCAGAATTTTGGTGAATATCACCCCAAGCAAAGAGACCCCCTAAGCACCAGCCCCCAAGCAACTGTACTCACGAGCCCATGAAGCCCCTTACTGTCACAAGAAGTGTGGTTGAAATTGTGTATGAATTTGGAAGTGAAGTGGATTGTGAAACACAGGTCTCCATGCTGGGGCAGGAGGTGGGGATAGGGCATTGAGTGGAAATGCCCACCCAGCAGGCCCATGTGCAGAAATGCAGAGTTCTCTGGCTCCTGCAGACTTGGCTGCTGACACTGAACTTGCTCCAGGAAGGTTCTCGCTGTGGTGTGATCTGCTGCCCACTCTCAGCTCCCTCCAGGAGACTGGTGCCTCGACTATTTGCAAATGACTACCAAAGGAAGGAGACTCCTACAGAGCAGAGTTTGATCCGGGGACCAGCCGAGGGCAGTGTGTCAGGATTCCTGCTTGAAACTGTTCTCACATCTCATGCCCTGAAACGATCCGTGTGTCCAGAGGACTCAGCATCGATCACCTCTGTCTCCATGCAGCAAACCCAGGGGCTCAGGCCGCATTCTACTACTAGAAGGGTGTTTGCCCGTGGTGCTTAGGTGAAAGAGCCTTGACTGTGCCTTAGGAAAGATTTTTTTTTTAATTGAAAATAACTTGAATATGCAACAATAAGGCATTGGTTGTATAAATGAGTTGAGTAGTGTGTAGCCAAGAAAATGATGATGATGATGTATATTTGGTAAATAAAAAGATATGTATAGTATTAAATTAAAAAATATTTTAAAGCAGTATATTTGTAATCTGTTTAGTGTCCTCTTTTTGTAAAATGCAGATAAATATATATACAGAAAAAAATTAGTAGTCCTGAGTGGTAGAAATTATGAGCGTTTTCTTGCCTTTAAAAAAGGTTGTAAAAAATTATATCATTTATGTAGCAAAAAGTTTAAAGTCACCATTCTAAAAATTTCATGTTGGTATAGTTGCTGTGACAAGATTTAACTTCTGCATGCTTCACCAATCAATACAAAGGCATGTAAGACCTGCTGTATGATAGGCCACATTAAAATACCATGCATGTCTTCAGAAAAGTAAATAACTTGAGTATGAAGTTAGAACACTAGGTTCTAACTTCTTACACTAGTGCGGCACAGTGATTACAAAGATTTTTCTCATTTGAGTCTGTCATGTTTCTTTATCGTTGTTTTGACAGTTTCAGAAGAATCATGGCTTTTTCCCTTTTTAACAGTAAAGGTATCTGAGACTCTTGATGTATTGCTTTTTTGGTAGTGCTTGTGCTGGTCACATGCTTGCGTCTGGGCTAGTGTGTCTGGCTTCTGTGTGCTGGAGGATGCTTACTCTAGTTTCTGACACATTTCCTGTACAGTGGCCGCTGGCTGTGCTCCTAAGCCACACACCCACCTTGAAAATTCATGCCACTTTTAGAAATAGATAAAAACCCTCCCATCCAGAAAAAGTGACTATCGTGTATATCCTCATCATGACTAATACTGATATTCCTGAAATTGAAAATACGTATTCCATATGTACCATAAAAGGTATTAAAGATATGTGGAGTGATAGATGTATTATATATAACACTTCTACCCACACAGTTTTCAGCCTAATTGAGAGGGTAAGGTCCCTGAATCATACATCAGTTTTCAGTTCTCTGCTGAAAGCAGGCCTCAGCTCAGATCTACACATCTGAACCAAAGAGATAGAGGTGGCCAAGAAAAAAAGGGGGACTGGGTAACAACCTGGTTTAAAGTCAGCAAATAGACTCAGTTTTCTGGTTAGCAAAGGAGCTCTTCTGAAAATCATTTACCAGAGCATAAATGAGCAGATTTCCTTGAGGTCACCTTCTGCTGGCCACAGCTTTCTTATCCATGGAGCTGCCAGCTGTCATCCACTTTGGGGCACCTGAGACTGCCGAGTGGTAGGCCAGGACCCCAAGTGTGAAACACACAGCACACTTTTTTGCTCCTACTCCACTGTTGCTGGGGTTCTCTCCCCGGTGTCTATGGCTCGTAGGGCACTTTGTGGAGCATTCACTGTGGCCACCGAAGGACAGCACCTTCCTGTTGTTGTTGTTGTTGTTGTTGTTTTTTAATTTAAACCAATCTGAGAAGTCAGCCATCTGTCAGCAAAACAGGAAGGCTTGGGCCCTCTCCTGGGCTCGTTTTGCTGCCGTAGTGAGCTTCACTTCTCCCCGTGTAAGAGCGCTGGTGAAGGCTGAGGCAAGGGCCCAGAAAGATTGAGGGACAAAGACAGGAGCGCCCACATTGCCCATCTGCCAGGCTGGAGGTGTATTCATTATTGATGGAGGTAGTGCAGTTGCTGCTCAGATATGCAGCCCTGCCTGGGTAAATGAGACATTCTTCAGCAAATTGCTTCGTTTTTTGATTGCTGATTGTACGCGTGTCACCAAGCTGACTCAAGGTTCATCGATGCATGCTCAGTAAATTAGAAAGAACATAACTATGGATCAGCCAAGAGAATGAATTCTGTGCCTACAATGACCCAGGGCCATTTAATTTTCTGCTTAATTTTGTTGCAGTCAGTTTGCATTTTGGGTTATTATGCAGTAGGAAATTAACAATAAATAACAAATTTGGTCCTCCTGTGCTTGTAATGATATTTTTATAAATCTTTGTAATGCTGTTTTTAAAAGGATCAAGGTCTGTGCCAGTCTGATACTCCGGCAAGTATGTGAGGAAGAAAATGCATTATTCTTGCTAGATAACCTTGTTGTTAAATAGCATAGGGGTTCTTTCTCTCTCTCTCTCTTTCTCATATCTTATTAGTATTTTTGCTTTTGACTAAAATCCCTTCCTCTCTTTCTCAGATAACCTGAGGACAATGGATGCTGATGAGGGTCAAGACATGTCCCAAGTTTCAGGTGAGACCTTATGAGATACCTGTGTGGGGAGTTCATGAGAAAAGCTTCCCTGGGGCCAGAAGTCAGGATGCTTGGTACGCTCATGGGGGAGGAATAGGGGCTATTCTGCAAAAGACCATGATAGAATTTGCCTGAGTGTTTCCTTCACCCGTTACAAATTATCTGACTTTGAGAAGCTGAACAGAAAGTTTCAAGAAGAAATTAGTTTTACTATTAAACCTCAGGACACAAAAATGGAAAGAGCTAAATACATATTTGTACTGTTGGAAGGCGAAGTGGCTGATTGATCTGCCCTAAAACCCAAACCCATGCCAATGGTGGTACTTAAAAAGAGAGAGAGAAAGGAAGAGGAAGAAGGGGAGAGGGAGAAGGAGAAAGTAGCTTGAAAAACATGATTGTTGGGCATGGTCATGACTTTTTGTTCATTAAGTATGGATACAACATTGCTCCCCTTTGTCATATATCTTTTCGAGCCATATTGGACATAGCTCTTCTCATCCAGGAGACCCGGGAATTGGAGAAGTCTGTAGTGGGAGAAGCCTAAGGGTGGGTCACAGACTGTGACCATTTGGCAGTATTGAGGATGGATGGCCAGCCATTCCAGCAAAACTGCACAGTTCCCCAGTGCATGGACATAGGAAGACAGCTTTCTGTCTGGCCCTGTATCCAGAGGCATCAGCCCCAGTAGCGGCTTCCATGGACTTCAGGGTTTTTGGTATTTCATATTTTCATGCCTCATGGGGTCACAGCCAGCCCCAGAGGCTGGCCTCTATTCAAGAAAAGTCTCTCAGTGGCATCTTGCCTTGGCTGAGTACCCTCGTGTTTTGAAGTTTCTATGGGATTCCACATGTCAGTGCTCCTGATGAAGAGCAGGACCAGTGTGTGGCTGCTCCCCTGCTTGCTGGCCTCCCTGGAGAAGGCAAAGGAGAGAATCTTCTGAGTTCCATGGAAATGGAGATAGATCTACCAATAACAGGCCTCCCTCTCCACCGCTCCTTCAGCCACTCTATTCATGTTTTAGGTTTTGGACTTTTAACTCTCCAAGATGCAAAGAACAAACAAAGGCTAGCTTATTTTTCTCTTAGAGTTAGGCTTCATATTTATTACAATATAATTTTCATATTCTTTATGTAATCTCATATTCTATATCTTAAATGTAACACTCACATATGAGAATTATGTAATGCTCTTTTTGTATATCACTGAATATTTTCACTTAATTTTTAAATTTTTTTAATAGACATAAAATAATTGTGTACATAGACACAAAATAACTGGGCACTTAGTGATGTTGTGATACATACAGTATATAGTAATCGGATCAGGTAAATCAGCGTATACATCGTCTCAAACATGTATCATTTCTTTGTTGGGGACATTCAACATCTTCCTTCTAGCTATTTGAAACTGTATCTTATTGTTAACTACAGTCATCCTGAAACAGTGTAGAACTCTAGAACTTATTCCTCCTATCCAGCTGTAATTTTGTCTCCTTTAACAAATCTCCCCCTCTCTGCCCCTCCTCCCACCTGTCCCAGCCTCTGGTGGCCTCTGTCCCCCTTTTTACTTTGATGACAGCATTTGTTAGCTTCCACACGTGAGTGAGAACATGTGGCTTTTAAACTTTTAGAGTGTGGTGTTCAGGCACTTCGTGGTACAGTTGGGAGAAGTGAAAATGTGTCCAAAAGTTTGTGATTATCTGTATAAACTAAAATTGTATAAATCCAACAATCTATCAACTTCGCGTTGAAGAACTTACCTTAGAGGTGTAGTCTCACAAGTGCACAGAGCATTTAAGCATTTGTTCATTGGAGCACTTATCAATGTTTTAAAACTATGGTACATTCGTGTACTTCCACATTCAGCCTTAAAAATAAGGAGGATGAGAATGAACTAGTATGAAAGGAAGTCCAAAATACATGTGAAAGTGACAAAAGCGTGGTTCTTGATGGTATGCCAAATATGATCCCATTCTTTAAAAAGGAAATAAATTATATACACGTACACGTACACGTGTATATAATTTATATACTTGCACATAAGTTTAGGAAAATTCTGGACTTCCTCTTGGAAGATTGGTGGTGGAAGGAAGTGGGTGAGTTAGGGAAGAGGAGGGGGAGAAGGAAAACTGCTTTTCATCTTCTACCTTTTAGCATTATTTGAATTTATTTTCCTTAAGCACATACTTTGTTTTTTAAACAAAAAAGCACAACAACAAAAAACTACTTAAATGGCGGCGGGGGGGGCGGGGGAAGCAGTTTAACTCTCTGTTGGCTTTGCCAACCTCTCATGCAGCCTAGGAGAGCTGGTCTGGGAAACATTGGCACATGAGGACTGTGATCCTCACTCGTGGAAGAGGGTCTCATTCACTGGGTTTTCTGACTGTGACTAGAAGTGATAGAGTCAGAAAACCCAAAGATGTTACAAATTTCCAGGGGCAAAAAGATACTTTCGTTGTTTCTGCTCTTCTGCTTTTCCCTGTCACTTTCACTTTGGGTAGCTTCTAATTGGTATTTTGCATGGCACATCTGAAGAAAATGAAACCCCTTTGGCCAATGCAGGGATTTACACTCAGTTATTCTAGAGTCAAAGCTGAATGCTGACGCCTAGGGATTCATCTCTAGAATGTTTCTATAAGGAATAGCCACTCGATATTCTGATCTCAGGTCTTAGTAACAAAACTAACAAAAGCCTGATGTTCCTCTGGTGGTTTTCTTGTCCCTACCACTATACAAAATAAGTAATTCCTTCTGCACTCTGACTGTTTAAAGGATAGAGTAGCTGGGGGTGGGGATAAGAACGAGCCCTTATTACACAAGACTTCCTGAAAAAGGAAACTTTTTTTTGTTGGAATGATTTGGTCTGAAATTTAGTTTGTATACACTTACCAAAGGGATTCCTGTTTCTAAAACACTCATGGTACTTTTGATTTCTGTTAGCCTTTGAGTACTCTACATAGTGACGAGAGCACTCAAAGAGTCATGTCACTTTTAGAAAGAGTTAAAGGATACTTTTTCTACTTCTTGGAGTTTCATCTCTGGTTCTCCAGTTAAAACCAGTATTTGATTTTTCATTTCTAAAGTTGGAATAAGTGACAGCTATGGCATAAGGATGTACATTTAACCAAATAGGAGTTGACATTCTTGATAAGAAATCTCAGGAATATGTTGCTGAATCATCCTCTTTTCCCTTAAAATATTTAAGTATCAGCAATTTCATAGGATTCAACCTAATATATGTGAAATGCTTGATAAACAGATAAAGACTTAATATCTGGTTTTTTTTTTTCAAAGCACTGGATTCTGTGTTCTTTGAGATTTATCCTAAATGTGCACTGTGTCCTGGCTTACTGTGTCTGGCAGATGTGTAGTAGTAGACACTCCGTGAGTGTTTAGTGACTTGAATCCACAGGGTATTGAGAAAATGCTATTGATAGACTTGGAGGAGAGCATATCTAAAGCAGGGTACCCTTTAGGGCACAGCTCACTAATTTTTGGGTAAAGCATATTTTTCCTTTCTTTGTGTTTTTGGCCATCTTTCCAAAATGTGTGTTATAACTATGCGTTATTTTTTGGTTTGGTTTCTAAAGTAAGAGTTAGCCAGTGGGAAAGTGAAGTATATGGGAGCTGAGAGACTTGCATCAGCATCCCATCTCCGCCTCCCACGATGGGAACTGAGACAGTTATCTTTGCCTCCTGGACCACTGTAGTATTTTCTATAACAGGAGGGCCTTGAGCCAGTTGATCTCTAAGGTTCCTCTGGCACCTGTGACCCTAAACACATGTTGGATTTTTACTTAATGCTATTTGTAGTTTTCTTGGGATATGGAAACCAGAAGTACACCCTTAGATATATATAATCTGCTTAGGTAAAGAATGTTTGTATATATTGCAGTGTCAATGGCAATATTTAATTAATTAAACATAGTAAATCACATTGATTGAATGCTTTGTATTTACCAAACATTACAAGAAGTGTTTTCTCATTTCAAACACACAAACTCTCACAGAAGAAAACACAATTATTATCTCCAACTCGCAGGGAGCTGAGACCCAGAGAATTTAAGTAACTGACCACAAGTCCAGTAGGGAGTCAGAGATGACTCTGGGGTGTGAGCCCTATGTGGACCCTAGAGTTGAAGCTCCTCCACTACTTTATAGAGTTGAGATTCTATATTTTGAGCTTGTATTTACCCAGGGAGTTATGCCCCCTTGGGCAGTTGTATATAATAAAACCTCATGCATTTGGGAGGGGGGATCACAGAACTTTGTGGAGTGAATTATAATCTACTTGACAAATTATTTGCTTACAGTTTATAAGCTAATTGTACCATATCTCATTTAGTTTTCCCAAAACACTTCTCCTAGGTAATGCTTTATTTGAAACATAGGCCATAGGTAAGTTAAATGTAAATTCATATTTTTATAATTTAGCCAGAAGTTTATTTCATTTTTCTAAATATGTGAATGGTATTGCATCTTCTAAATTATTCTGTTTAAACACTTGACGTCGTGCTATCTCCGTCTCTGTGTGTTTGCTGGGAGCTTGGTGGAATATATGCCTTATGTTTCTGTGTGCACATAGTTTACCAAATAATGCCATAAGCTTACTTAGCGTATTAGAATCCATGCACATTATTTTTATCTTATCTTTACTGCAACCCTGTGAGATAGACCAAAATCATGTTTTTCAGCCTCCTTTTTCCACTTGAGGAAATAAGTCTTAAAAAGGTGACCAGTCTCACGTTCCCGTTGGTCTTACAACTAATCGGTGAAGCCAGAAAGCCAGAATTATGTCCTGGGTCAAGTAACTTCTAGTCACTGTGTATTAGTATTTGAGGTGTGTTGGCTTGATTTAATCATTTATTTTTTAGTGTTTTTTAACCTTTGCATACTTTTACATTTTAAATGGTTAACCAGACAAATTCATTTAAAGTCATTGCATAAAAATACTGTGCCTGTTATGACAGGTTTCATGAAGTGATAACTTTTCATCATGGAGATCCTCAGCTGTCACAGACAACGAGGGGCCCTGGGTCCAGAGGCTCACATGAGGGATGAAAGTCTCAGCAGCCTGGACTCACACTTTGGGGCTTTTAGGCAAATCAGACAACCTCTTAAGAACTATCACTTAGTTGAGGCAAGGAGAGCTTGAATTAACGCAGAGCCCTTGGTGAGCATGTGAATATACCTCACTTAATGACCATCCAGTTCTGACTCTTTACTGGATGCTCCTATATGTACCAAGGCTGATTGTTTATTCTCCCTTCTCCCCATGTGGTTTCTTCTGCATAGAGAGTTTCTATTGATCAGTCTGACCCATGGTATTTTGGAATTGCGATCCCTACTGTTTCATTATTCCTTTTCCTCCCCCATGTTGAAAAAAATAAATGTCCTGAGATGCAAGATCAGGGACAGTGGAGCACTGACATTTAGTTCAGGGCAGGAACCGAAGGCAGATGTAATTCTTAAGAAGCACACCTGTTATTATGAACCATCCCTCAACAAATTGTAGGGGATCCTCTTCTCTCATAGACACAGCATTTAATTCTTTTGGAAAAAGTAGGAGTGATGTGGATGTATTTTAGCATGCACTGAGCAGAAAGGATGGCGTTCCTTCACTGGTTAACTCCTGATTCTTCATGATCCTTTCTTGGCTCCAGGGTGCTGTGCACCTGAGGGCGCCTCAGAGCACCTCTCAGTGCTCCAGCGTGATCACAAGGAAGAGCCATAAGAGGAAAAGAGTCAATAAAGTTTAGTTTCTCAACCTCCCACCCTGACCCCATAACAATGACAGCTAGTTAATCATGAAACACATGCACACTGCACGCGCTCTGTACGCATTTACTCATTGGGATAGCATGTCAGGCCTGGAGGCTCTATGGTTGTTTCTATGAAGGTACTTTAGCAGGTCTTCAAGAAGGGAAGTGGCCTAGGTTCCTTCCTCCCCAAATTGCAAGGTCCCCACTTTACACAGAAGACCTGTTGTATATATTACAGTTCTGTGTAAGATTATCTTGTTATTCTTACCCCCTGCCCCCACCCACAGAAAAAAGATTCCTCTTCCTAAAGTCCTGGAAGTTTGAACATCACTGCTCTAGGAAGTCATCTTACACAAAAATAAGAGTTGTCAGGTGCTTCCTATGCCTCCTGCGTTCTCCTATGTGGAGTTTTTCCCGTTTATGAAAGAGGTGAAAACACGAAGGTATTTAGCAATTGTCACTTTAAACTTTTTCTATTTATAGCATGAAAATAGTAATGACTTAATGTACCTTTCCAAGGCTTTAACATAACATGAGGACATTCAATCAGTGTCTCTCTGGCCGTTGTTTTTCCTTGGGAAATTCTTATACTCCTGCTCCATCTTTAGCTATGCATTTTGTATTGGCTATCCAGATATACCGAATAATGCTCTTTCTGAAAATATGCCAGTTGTGGTAATTACAGGTAAGCTGGAATATTAAATTGTGATATCTGTTTTCTAGAGAGTGAAGTAGTATTCCCCAGAGCCTAGGCTTGGTGCCTGTGCAGGTTCTATTTTAAATATTCCAGTAAGGGTTGTTTTATATGCCAAGGATGATTTTACTGGTCTTGCCAGTCAACTGAAATGCTGGTGTTACTCTTCTGGGAGGTTTTATTTAAACAAGCAAGGACATGGCACACAGTACCTACTCATATTTTTCAGACCTTTTAATATTTGGTTTATCATTTGCACACACTCTTAAAAATCTAGCTTTGTCTGTGTGTTCATGTCATTTTGCCTTTTGCTAGCTCAGTCAGCAGACACACACTGCCAGGCTGTTGCCATTTCATTAGACTTCTTCAGGACCTTCATCTAAAACGGTCTTCCACACCCGATACAGCATTAGTTCACATCATCTGTTTCTTGCATGTGGGTTGTGTCTCATGTCAAGTTTAAGTTAGATTGGAAGGGCAGAAACTACAGGAGTTGCAGCTTCAGTGGAAAAAAGAAAAGTATTTTCTATTAGTCATGGCTTCCCAAGGAAGGTTGGATTCCTGAGTAGGAGTGATTCCACATTGTCAGAGCCTCTGATCCAATTTAATTCTAATCCAGTCAAAATAAATATAGGTATTCTGTAAAACCCAATTTCATTTTCTAAATCCTACTTTGTATAGTATAAGCAATTTTTGTATTTATGTGGATTGTGTTTTATTTTCCTATTTCAAAGAAAAGTATTTGTGTTGGCGGACTCCCTTTGCATGCAAGGGGGTCATTTTCCCAGTGGGCATGGGGTTCCCTTCCATTCCCTGTCCAGTCTTCTTCTCCCCACCAAGTTAAGTCTAACTAAGCAGCTGGTAAAATAATCCCTGGCGCTTGCAAAGAAAGTGAGCAGATAGCAGAATGTGTGGCTCTAAGCAGCGTACCTACTGTGGTGTCCTCAAACACAAATTGACAGAAGGGTGTGGCGCAACAAGCTCATTGGGGTACTTGGGGTGGGAACAAGCTTACGGGGGGAAAGTTGACAAAAGATAGGGAGAACCTCAAAACTATAGATGCCTTTTGATGCAGTGATAAAGCGTCTAGCTATTTATACTGTGGTGATTGTTAGGGATATGAGCAAAGATTGGCTATTAGGATGTTCATTACAGTGTTGTTTAATAATAAAAAAAAGAACACAATATGAGTTCAAAAATAGGAAAATAATTGAAATAAATCCTGGTATACCCGTTATAAATCAAACTATGGAAATATGGCCACTAGCATGGAAATATGTTTCTGAGAATGTCTAAAATCTAGTTTATTTTGTAAAAGAAAATATGTCATCTCATATTATTTATAGTATATAGAGGTGATTTTAAGAGTGGCAGTGTCTAGGATTACAGGTGATTTTATTTTTTCCCTTTTACACATCTGGGTTCTCTCATTTGTTTTGTGTGGGGAGCAGTGACTTTTTTTTTTTTACAAAAAGATAAAGGTATTTGTATCTCAGCAGAGAAAGCAGTGGCTCCACCCGGTACCTGCCCCCTCATGCCACCCTCTCAAGCGAAGCGAAGGGAAAGCCCAGGCACCTTGACAATGAACGCCCAAGACTCAAGCTCCTTCTTTATCCTCAGGGAAGGAAAGCCCCCCTGTAAGTGATACTCCAGATGAGGGCGATGAGCCCATGCCGATCCCCGAGGACCTCTCCACCACCTCGGGAGGACAGCAAAGCTCCAAGAGTGACAGAGTTGTGGGTAAGTGGGTCACTGGCCACCTCCATGCCTGTGAAACCTTTATCTCTTTATATTTGGATGCAAGTCATTTTATCCATTGTGTTCCCTCAACTGGCATATTAAGGAAATATGGCACAGAGATCGCAGGATGGGGGTCTTCTGGTATGCGGGAGGATGGACACTCACAGGCCAGCATGACCGTGAGAGCCACACACACCCCATAAAATGTGCGAATTGAGGAGCAATTTTCCCCAGGGATGCGTCTCTGTTACTGTCCCCTGTCCTCACTGCCCTTTCAGGAATATCAAATGTTATGGATTGTGTTTTGGCAACAGTGCTTCAGTGTTTGGGGTTAGAAGAAGCCACATCTGGCCATTTTGTGTTATCCCTCTAATCCCTAGTTCTTAAATTTCAGATTTAACTGAAAATAGAAAGTTTCATAAATGGTAATTTTTAAATGTTAGAAAAAAATCTAAGTTAGCACAGATTTACATACCTTTCCCATAAAAACGTATGTTTGGAACCGACACCTGCAAGTCCACTGGCTAACTTAGACATGCCACAGTTTGTGTTTGGAACGCGTCACCCAACCTCTTTATTTCAAGAAATCAAAGACTGAGAGAAGTCAATTAACCAAGGTCAAATGATAGAGTCAGAATTGAACCGAATTTCTGACTCAAAGGCTAGTCAGAAATTCAGTTATACCATGTTCTCATGAGCTAATGAGTCAACAGTTCTTTTGAATACCTGTTTTCCTCCTTCAAAAGAGAAAAAGCTGTGATACTGAGAGCCACCCATTGACACAAAAGAGTATCATGAAGGACATACAGGTAAAATGAGGTAGACTGGATCAATGTGGGTCAGCTACATAAGCCCCCATAGCCAAGGAGGGAACATGTATGTAAAATTCTCAGGCTTATGCGAATCACCTCACTGTCTGCCTATAGGACATCCTAGTGCAATAATGGGAAATTGCGATAACTGAGAATTTTATCTACATGTATAGAAAACATACTTTATATGTTTTTTATGTGCATTAGAAACCAAGTAGACTAAGTATAATGGTTCCTTTTTTTTAATTCAGCAGTACAGTTAATGACACAAACAGATAAAGATAGTGGCTAAAGCCATTTGGCGTAGATGAATCCAGAAAACAAGTACATTTATGAATTATTTTACCCTATAGGAAAATGGCTATGATAAGCAGGAAAGCAGAGGGGAAGAGAAATGAACTTGTGGCTCATCCACTCTATTCTACCCAAGAAAGATACATATATCATTTCAGGGTTTTCCAGCATTGGGATGCAAATGATTATGTTTGATTTCAACTTAGGTTTTTATTTTTGAGATTATCTTCTATGTATTGCAAGTGATACTGGTTTTACCACACACTGTACTGTTATAAGGGTTCCTTTCAAAACACATTTATGTAATTTAAAAAATCAAATGAAATGGAAACATTAAGTCACTAGTAGAACATAGATATGATAAAAGTTTGCAAAAGTGGTGCAGGAATAGCCATTTGGAGGGTGATGTTACCTGACTTGTTTAGTTCCTGAAGCACCCAGTGCCAAGGATACTATTCTCCCTTCTTAACACAGGAGCAAACAGATGCTCACACCCTGCCTGAGAATACAGAGAGGCTCAGGGACTGAGCCAGAGTAAATGACCCACTAACCATGTAAATGAAAGTCTGGATGTCAGAGTGAGGACGTCGGCTTGGGTCACTATGGAGAAAGAGATGGGTTCTCCCTGGAATCCCTGCAGCTGCCCTTGGAGGCTGTGAGCCATCGTGGCTGGGGGCATCCTTTAGAGAACTGAAAGTCAGGCTGATTCCTGGAGAGTGAGGACTAGCACGTGTGCCTTCAAAACAGTGTCAGTATCCTGTCCCTTATGGACTTCACATTGTTGGTAGGTTTTCCTGGATGGCAGATCACCCAGCACTCTGATGGGTTCCCAGAGCTGTGTCTCTTGGTTCAGAGTCCTGCCCTCGGTCTTATCTGCACTCAGCACAGGCATCACCTTGGAGTCAGGGGCAGGTTTGTCATTGCCCAAGGCCATGACCCTCCCTGCCCTTTATCATGTTTGACATGATTTTCAGTCTACTTTTCCTTCAGGATGAAGTTGAGAAAATATGACTTCAGAATTGTGAAATTAAAAAGCTCTGGAAAACCTCTTTGCTTGGCTTGTAAATAGCAGTCGATGCAGCCCTGTGGACAGGTGGGGACAGCCATGTGACCTGGGCACTGAGATGATTTAGGAGGATGGGAGAATGAATGCTTCTCAGTGGAGCTGGAGGCTATAGGAGTGATGGGTTACTGCAAAGAAAGCAAAAAATATGAAGGCCTGCATGACAAACTGGGCACCACACAAGGGACGGGCTTGAGAAGAGGAAGTGAGGGAGGGAGAGGATCTCACAAGACTCAAGCGCCCAGGAGACACGGAGGGAAGAGAGGGCTCTTCACAGAGCTGAGTTAGAGACTACCCTCAATGGTTCTGGAAGGAAACCAGCCAGCTTTCATATGTGGTGACAGGCTGTTCATTAATTTGTAGTGTATAGCATTAAATAAATCAAATATGTAGAGAACATTAGGAAACAATATAAAAAGGTAAGGAAATCCATGGATAAAGGAAATAAACTGGGTACCATATTTCATCAAATTATTCCATGGGAATAAGTCATCAGAGCAAAGAACTGTAAAGAGTGCACAGCAGGAAATGAGAAGACAGCCCTCTCCGGTGACAGAAGCCATGGGGCCGGCAGGAGGAAGTGGAGTTGCTTAAATGCAGGGTGAGCAGCAGGGTCGGAGAGTGCCGTGTGGGGAAGGCACACCTCGGAAGGGACAGGTCCAGGCCCCCTCCCTCCTCCCTGGCCCGGAGCTTCTGGCAAGGCTTTTCTTCTCTGAGCCTCAGTTTCCTCTTTATAAGGTAGCAGTAGCAACTGAACCCATGTCAGAGTAGCAAAGACACAAAGTAAAAAGTACAGAAAAAGAAGTGTAATTTGTGCAAGATGGAAATTTCAGAGATTTAGGAGAAGGGTAAAGAAACCTATTGGAGCCTCAGTTGGGAAAAGGGAGATAATAGATGACCTTGTAACACCAAGGATAGAAAAAGGATTTCTTACTTTAAAAAAAAAATTGATCCAAAGAATAAGCACACTGAAAACAGCCAGAAGAGAAAGGAGGAACCCGTTACAATAGGGCAAGACCAAAGGATAGAGAAAGGGTGCTGGCCAGCACCACTGACCGAGTCGAGCCAGCTGTCGCTCTTGAAATTTTAAGGAGAAATGGTGAGAGGCTAAAAGATGGGAAAAAAAGGTGAAAAGTTATTTGCTAATAATAGATTACAAGGGTGTCTGCTTTAGAAAGAGACAAGGAACCCTTTTGGAAAGCTGTGAGCTGTTATGACCACTGGCATCCTTCAGTTTTAGACAAATCTAATCTCAACAAGGATAACAGACCATATTAATAAACAAATTGATGGGAATGGTGGAAATCAGTCCCCTGTGATGAGGCTGTGAGGATATCCTTATTGGTGAGTCACTCCCAGAATAAGCAAGTAGTGGTTTCACACCTCATTGCTTTATTCAATGTGGAAGGAACATTCTAGGTTTGTGTATAAGTTTGGGGAGAAGGAGACAGAGCCAGGAGGGAGAGCAGCCCTGCAGCCGTGAATTGGCCTCAAAACAAAGGATTTAAAGTGCTGCTTGGAGAATTTAAGTTAGACTTAAAGGAGAGATGTCGTCTTAACTCTCCTTTTGGCGAGGGGAGATTTAGTCATCAGAACGGTCTATTTAATGAGACTTGTCTATTTAATGAGCTTGTTCTTCTGAAGTGGTCTTTTTAAAAACTAGAGAACTCTCGCCTCTCTGAAGTGGTTGTGTCTGAAACTGTTTCAAGCTGAGCATGCACTCAGTGACCTCTTCAGGCAACCCCAAATTTACTCAGTCAGCCATGGCACTCATACTAGAAAAGTAGAAACATGAATTCAGACTTATTCTGAAAACTCTTGAGCAGGGGCTCTTAAAAGGTTTTCATTTAGGAATTATGTCAGAGTTGGCGTCTGGAGAGCAGATAAGTGTTTTGGATGAGAAAAGCCACAGCTTAGTTATTTTCTTCTCTTATTCAGTAATACCTCCATCTTTTTCCTCCTTCTCTATTCATCCCTTCTTGCCGGTTACCGACTTCTCTCTTGTACACATTTCCATGTCCTAAATTAACCAAGGGTCCTCAACTAGGATTCTGTTGACAGGCACACGGGTCTGGAGGTGTAACGGCATTCCTCCCCCATGAATTCAGGCAGCAGGGGAGGTATTTGGGTGGGTGGAACAGAGGAACAAAAGACCAGAGGATAAAGAAAAAAGATTCCAGGTTAGAAAACGGGATGGCCGCCCTGGAGAAAGAAGACAGGCTAATTTAGGGCTTAGAGTAAAACTGAAGAAAAAAACGCAGGGCAGAGGCACAGGGATGCTGTAGAACTGAATTGGGACCACGATTGACGTGAGCAGAGATGGGTTGGTTGAATTCGTGCAAGGTGGAAGGATGGAGGCCCATATGGGCCTGGGACAGGGCCTACTAAATGACTTGCTATCTGGCTTGATAATCGGGACAACCTCAGGCAGTATTATTCAGGTGGGAGGAAACTCGAGTTTGAATATAGGGAGATAAGGTATATTTCTATATGCCCTGGTACATTCTAGAGTGTGCTTCTTTGGCTCTGTACCCTGGAGCAGCCAGCTCCTCAAGTTGTGAGGAGATCGTCACGATTTCATGAGCGGTTTATTTCAGCTTGCATCTCACAGTGTGGTGTTCAGAGGCACAGGCTCTAGGCGCCCTGAGTGAAACTGAATCAGTACAACTTAGATTCTTCACGTTGAATCCTTTGAACAGTATTTGATTTCCCTTAGCACAACTGAAAAAAAAAGTGGAAAAAAAATCTAGATATTTTCCTCCGGACAACAGAACAAATGATCGAGTGTGTAAAAGCATAAATCTTTTTTTTAAAATTCATTCAATCGAAGT